AGTACAACCTGCCATGTGCATTTGCATTCCAAAAGAAAATTAACTTATATGCACATCTTCAGGGGGAGCCCTCGCAACTTATGAAGACAATTCCCTATCCTTTACAAACTTCACACATTATATTCCCCGTTGAAAACTTCAACTAGTTTGTCATGAATCACCAAAAAGGGGGAGATTGTAAGTGCATCTAGTGCCACCCCTAGTTGGTTTTGGAGTATTGACGACAAACCTAGTTGAGGGACTAATGTGTTTGTGAGAATTGCAGGAAAACACAGGTAGAAGTCCCTCATTGATTCGGTTTTACTACCAAAGAAGACCCCTAAAAATGTATGAAGACATTGAAGACAAAGGTGGTATATGAAGATATTCACATTGAAGACTATGACAAAAGAAGACACGTTATGAAGCCTATGGAGCTCGAAGACTTAGATCTTTCGTAGTTCTTTTTCTTTTGTGTTGAGCCATAGGAACCACCGTACTATTAAGTGGGGTCCAGGAAAACCAGTCAGAATGACTGAAGTGATGCCTAAATCAAAAACCTATGTCTTCGAGCGAAGACAATGAGAGCGAATCTTGTCCAGAGCCGGACAAGTCAGCTTTGCTTGTAGCCTAAGTAAAGTTGCCATGAGAGTTCGAAATCTGACCGTTGAGACACGTGTCAGTTCCTTAGTGACCCAGGGTCATTTCGGACAAATCAGGTTGGGTTGCCAAGTGGCTATAAATAGCCCACCCCCAGAACCATAAACGGTTGGCTGCTCAGATTTCAGTGCACGGCTTTTGTCGTTTGAGAGCAACCCACCTCGAAGCCTTTGAGAGAAAAATACCTAGTGAGGAGAAAAGCCCTAACCACCCAGAGCCAGAGTAAATTGGGCATCACTTAAGTCTTCGTGTCTGAGTGATCTGAAGACTTATTACACTTGAGGACTGTGAATCCTCCAGACGGTTAGGCGTCGCGTTCAGAGCATCCAAGAGACATTGTGGATTGCCAGTGAACGAAGTCTGTGAAGGTTTGGGAGTCTACCTTGAAGACTTACCAGAGTGATTGGGCGAGGACTAAGTGACCTTAGCTCAAGGAGAATACGGTGAGGACTTGGTGTCCTGAGCTGCGTGTTCAGGACTGGGTGTCCGAGACTGTGTGTCCTAAGGTTTAAATACCTAGCCGCTCCAACCAGACGTACAGTTGTCACAGCAACTGGAACTGGTCCAACATATCATTGTCTTCAACGAGTCACTGGTTTCATCTTCACTTCCTTTTCTTACTGTTACTCATTGTGAATCCATTGCATACCTGCTCTATCTTTTGTCTTCACAACGTGAATGTATGATTTGTTTGGCTTCATAACTTCTTCCTACCTGATCCTTATTACACTGCAGTTGTTTGTCATTGTGCTTTCACTCTATTGAATACATGACCATGGCTGGCCTAGTGTAATCTAACTTCCGCTGCATAGCAATAGGCATAATCTTCGCTGTTTGTCTTCATAACTCTCATGTTTTGAAGACTTTCATAAAAATCGCCTATTCACCCCCCCTTTAGTCGATATAACGCACTTTCAGCCATGCTTTCGAGAGAGATGCCACTAGTGAACCTATGGTCCCGGGTCTATTTTCCATCAATCCAAAATTCTCCATAATTGCTCTTTTTATTTGTTCCTTACATTCTACCGCTTTGCATATCACCATCTGCTTTTAATCCAAGAACAAGGGGAGTGATGACCCCCTTGCCTTTGTTGGGTGCAAGCAATTGTTTTGTTTGTGTGCAGGTGCTTCTAAAATTGTTCGTGTGTTGCCTCCTACTGGTTTTATAAACCTTGGTTCTTAACTGAGGAAAATACTTCCTCTTGCTGTGCTACATCACCCTTCCTCTTCGAAGAATCCAACGACTCTATCGTGAGTAGCAAGCATCCAAGAAAATGGTCAACGTGTCCTGATACCATTCTGCATCGCTAAGGTTTCACACCTGGATCCATCTCGCTCTCCACTTCCTAAGATGGTTGCATACCTGTGTTGAGATCACCTTCGTGCTACAGAGCTCTAAAAACCGTCTTCACAACAACGTTTAGGTGCATCTCCTTGAAGTCGTTGTCAGTCCTCACCCCGTTGGTGATGATATCGTACATCTTGTCGAGGACGAAGGGACATAAAAGAAACCCATTTCATTGTATCCTCCTTCATTGACTCCCTCATATGTGCCTTGTCATCCTTAATGTCTACCTTAGTAGCTAGCGCAGGCATCACCACAACTAAAGAGAACACAAGAGGACCATGTGCATGCAGAGTCAACGACTGGCTAGCAGTCCTAAACATAGGAGGTAAATAATTGGGTGTCCAACAAAACAAGGGCCTAACTAAAGTCTTCACCGGTCATTGTCTACAATGGTTAGCATCAGGACTAACTGAACAAGAACAATGCATCTAGCATATTCCACATGGACTGGTCATGAAGCTGAAGACACTACCACATCTACCATGCTAGCATGGAGTGATCATGAAGCTCAACACATTGCCACATCTACCACAAACACCATGGACATCATCGCCGCCAACAAACAAAAACTACCATACTACAAAAATGGCACCACTAACATCTGATCTACCACATCCTCCCATGACACCATGACACAATACTTGCATAACCTACCATACTACCTGTTCTAATCTACCACATGCTCACAGATCTAGGCTACAACAAGTAGAGTGTGATGTTACTTACAACCATCGAAAGAGTGGGGAGAAGGTAGGGAGCAACTCGGAGAAGAAGACGAATAAGGCAATCGGCAGGAGGTGATGAAATTATCCCCAACGTTTTTTCGGCCACGAGCATGAGCTCACGCCATCCCTTCCCTCGTACGAGCTCAGTCGTCGTGTTACCAATTCGGACATTATTCTCTCTGGCTAGGCTGAAGAGTGCTTTAAGATTTGTGCGGACCACTTTCATAATGCAGCCTAGCTAACCAAAAATGCCAAATTTGCACCCCCAGAGCCTACATGGGGCTGCGAGCAACCAAACTATATTAAAAGCTGATTGCAGATTTTAGATCTGGCCTCTAAGTTGCTATAGCAGTGGGGAGAACATCCAGACCACAGAGGATCACTCATTAGCCAAGCTCTAATATGCTGACAAAGGAATTAAAATGGCCGACATAAAGGAGGATAAGAGCGATTTAAGAGTGAACAAGATCTCAATTTTGTGAGAGAAATCTTCTAACTTGGCGTCTAAGATTTACACTTTCTCGTGTACTCAATGAGCTAAAAACATTAAGGTGCACAATCGTATACAACACATACCACCAATCTAATTCCTTTCATTCTCGGCAAGTAATGTATATTTTGTAATGCTAATATATGTGGGGCTCACAAGTTGCACCAAAATTGAGCTCTTCACACTCCCAGTAAAAAGCACAGCAGCTGTATTTCTAACGGACCGCAAACATTCTTATCTTCCTCTAATAATAAAGCAAATAGTGCTTCTGGTCGTCCGTCATTAAAACTGCCCCTAAAGTTGTAAATTATTAGCCATCAATGCCACCGGTAAGTAAGAAAAACGTTTGGTTTGTTTTATTTTGTTTCGTCTGCGGCGACCATAGCTCAAAAGGAAGAGATCCCCACTTATGAAATAACCATGCACACAGTGCACTGGTCGGTGCCTTCACCTACCACGCTGGAGGTTGTGTGTTTGATCCCCACCCTTTTCCTTTTTTCCAAAAGATGAAATTTTCATATCTTTCAAACCCTAACTCCAAATCTAACATGTCATATATGATAATTCATCAGAAAAATGTGTAGATTCCAAATATTCCTTTATCATTAATTTTTATAAATATCATTAATTTTTAGAGATATGTTCAGGGTGCAAACTTAAATAATACGTTCTTTATATGATGAGATATTTTAGAAATGCCTATTACATATGCCCTTATAGATTGGTTGTTTTTTGTGGAGCAATCCGATATGTTTGCAACCAAATTAAGTCTTGAATTGAATTATGGTTGCAAATGCACATATATTTTTATATATGCAAACACATATATGACAAAGATAATGCTCTTATGCACATGCTATCATGGAATACTAAAATGTACTTTGCTATTTTCATTCTAATGCAATATTTTTTGGGCATCACCGACAACATCAAATGCATAAACATATACCGGCAACTAGGTAGATATTTGTGTTGTACTCCCTCCGGTCCTTTTTACTCTGCATATTAGGTTTGTCTGAAGTCAATCTCATCCAACTTTGACCAAGTTTATATAAAAAATTATTGACATTTACATAACAACACCAACATCATTAGATTCATCTCGGAATATATTTTCATATTATATTTATTAGATATTATAGATGCTAATAATTTCTAATATAAATTTGGTCAAACTTAGCTAAGTTTGACTTTCGGCAAATCCAACGTGCAGAGTAAAAAGGACCGGAGGGAGTATAATGAATTCTAAACACCTTGAGTACACTTCAAAAATCATCACACATTTATGTTTTTTCACAACACCACTTATCATGTCGTTGTTGCGTGGCATCATGAAAGATCTCAAGGAATTTGCTGTGTCGTCAAGTGTGTGTATGAGGGGTGAATTTTTTTCTCCCGTTGCAACGCACGGGCATGTTTGCTAGTATTCTTATAATATATGATATACAATTTCTGCACAGCTCTTGGTATGCACCATTTTTGTTTCCGAGTAACAAAATCTTTCTTCTGCTACTTGTATCAGTGTGCCTCTTCTCAATCAGCGATATGATTTATGGCATGACCACCATCATGCTCATGCACATGCAGCATAACTCCACAAAGCCGTGGAAGAACACAAGTAAGCACTGGTGCCTCTGAAACCAAGCAATGGTAAGTCGGTAGCAGTGTCCTGAGCCGAATACGCCAGCCCATAAAATGGTCTGCTCTCTGGAAAGGAGAAAATGCAATGAATGCAGATGTCAAACTGATAGCAAACAATGTAAACTATTTATTCGATTATCCACCTTTCATACTTGGGTCAGCCTGTATCATCCTGATCTTCAATATCATCATCAATGATAACATATTTTGAGGCATCATTGGAGGAATGGGAATTTGGGTCAACATGTTTACTGTGGCGGTCTTTCTTGAACCTATGATACCTTCATATATCACAAGATAATAGTCAGAATAACCATACTAACACATCAGAAATTAACCTACTCTAATATTTCCACTTTACGCTTTTGTAGTCAAATTATGATCAGTGTTTACTAATGGCTCTTTTTATAGTTAGTCTTATTGCATTTCTCTCTGTACAAGGTGGCATGACATGGCAAGTTCATTGACTTGCCTCCCGCAAAAAAAAAGTTCATTGACTTGCAAATAGGAAAAAATATATTTGTGGACGTGAGCAAATTAAGGCTTCTTTGATTCAAAGGAATTTTATAGGATTTCTGGAGGATTGAAGTCCTTAGGATTTTTTCCTATATTGGTCCTTTGATTCATAGGATTGGATCCCATAGGAATTTTTCCTATGGAATCTTTTGTACTACATTTCATAGGAAATTTAACATCCACTCCAACCTCTTTTTACAATTCCTTTGTTTTTCCCGTGGCATCAAACAATCATTGCTAATTCTATAGGATTCAAATGGGCATGCCACTCCAACCCTACACTTTTCCTATTCCTACGTTTCAAAATCCTACGAATCAAAGAGGCCCAAGTTTGACTCCTCTTGAACAATTTACTCCCCAAAAAAGTTGGCATGGAAATCTGAACTTATCAACATAGTAAGAAATTTGAAGTTGATTCTGTGAGTCGTAAAATATGGACTGGTAATAAGTTAGTAGCTTGGAACAACAAATATATGAACAACTCACTTGTACAGATTGAAAAGGCTGACACCAAATATAATTGTTGCCAGTCCAAATCCCTTTAACCAGGTAAATGGATCATTGAAGAAAAGCACAGCAACCTGTCGGATTGTTTGTCATCACAAATCACACTTATATGCATGAACAAAGATAAATTCAATGAAACTTTGAATGTAACTATAGAGTGGGAATCAATACCAAAATTGTGACAGCTTCCTTGACAATCCCAGCTATGGTCACTGTTACAGCACTTGTTACAGAAACCAGAACATATTCTGTCAAAACCTTCAAAGAACAAATCAAGTGATTATAAACCAGATAAAAAAATGCTAACAAGAATACTTTTTTTTGTGAATACCAACAAGAATACTTGGCAAGCATGTCTTAACAACAAACCAACAATAGATGACTGCAAAAAGGATTTATTGGTTATTACAAGTATTCTCAGACTCTCGGTGCATGAAAAAATGAAATAGTAAGAACCAACAGTGTATTGACTGGTTCCAGCAAAAAAGAAAATGACTTTTTGCATGACAAATGTAATGATTGGTAAGTAAAATGCTCTGGCATAAATGCTGTACTTCCCAGGAAGGAGTACTGATCCATACCATGAAGAATGCCAAAGCACCACCTAGAAGCATCAATAAGATGCTTCTTAATATGTGATCTGGACTATCAAAGAAGTGACTTGCTCTGACTTCATGCCATGGATCCATGGCAATGGAAATAATTGCAGTTGTTATTGCCATCACCGGAGTAACATAACTCATTAAGGTGAAGGGGTTCTTTAATCCTGCATAACACAATAAAAATGATGCTGTAAAGGATGCTGCATTACATATTTATTGAACAAATCACGTTCGATATTATCATTTTGATATTTTTTAAGAGAAGACAATGCACATAGCCGCTACAGCTCATACTGATGCACTAACTCAGATTTAAACAAAAACAGGTGTCCATTGAAAATACATAAGTCATACATGTGCCTGAAATTAATAAAGCTAATCTCGCTGCTTTTCAGTTTTCAAGAATGAGATGCTAAGACGACAACGAACAGTATTTATAATTTCCTCTCACTGGACAAGAAGCTAAGATAGAACGCATACCATATTCCTCTTTCTTCAGCAGATTTAAGGGACACATAAGGGTAAAAGAAAAGTTCAGTCAGGACAGGAATGAAAGGGAAGTAGAACATAGGATTAATAAGGCATATTACCATGTTCAGAACAAAAAAATGGAAGTACTACATTACACTGACAAACCTGGAGGAGAATCTGTGTCATGCACCAGCGGAAACCAGACATGACAGCAGCAAGCATAATAAATATAAATCCCCAAAGATTAAATTGTGTCTCTTTAGCAACTGCAAGAGGAACATTATTACCACAGTCCACAGTTAAGATGATGAATCCACATAAGAGAAATTTAAGAAAATAGAGTCAGGATGCAAAATTAAGCCCACAAATTACAGTGCCAAAAATCTAATCAAGTAAAAAGCTATTACCTCCGCCCTGAATTACTTGTCTTAGATTTGTCTAGATACGGATGTAATTTGTGGCGGAGGGAGTAGCTAGGAGGTCTTTTTCTGAGCTCTCTCCAGGAAAGCACAGAAGCATGTCACTTTGGAAAAAGTAATATAAGCTGTTGATGTACACTTATGACTTTACCTGTCAGTAGAACTCCAACAGAAACAATCAGCATGATTCCAAGAATGTTAAAGCTCGGCTTCTCTAGCCTTCAGGGAAAAAAGGGAAACCTTCGATTAATAACATGAAAATGATATGGAGACGCAGAATACAATGGTTGTTGACGTTCATTTTGTGGTTCTGGTGCTAGGAGCCTTCTGTTTTAGTTAGCTGCGATATATTTGCATCAGCGTAGTCTCGGTTTTTGTTTTGCTGCTGTTGCTGGGGTCTATGTGTTTTTCGAGCAGTAATTTTCTTCCTTTGTATTTCATACTTCTCCTAGTCCTGTTGGCTACCTTTATATCTGAACTACCGTACTCTGCTGCTCTGTTATTTTTTAGCAATAGTGGAACCTGACCACCATGAGCAGGCGTAAGGAAAAAAAGGGAATGATATAGAGCATAACAAAAGCCCATAAACCGATAATTAAACAGAAATAGGTGCAGTGTTGTCAGAAAGACAAGTTACAAGAGGGCACAAAATTATTTGCATAGGAACATGAAAAGGCTAAGGCCAACTCCACCGCGCGACCCTATCCTGTCCGGCCCCGTCCGTTTGGGGTAAAACGGACAAAGGAGGCGGCCCGGCGCGCGACGGCCCGGACCCATCTTCTCCGTTTTGTGTCCGGGCCTACCCATTTCGAGCGCAAACTTGCGCCGGGTTTGGGTCGCGACGGACACCAAACGGACGCGCGCCTCGTCCGCGTCGGGGCCGCGTGGCAGGCGGCCACCTACCTCCCACCCGCCCACATCAATGCACACGAGCGGTCGGCCCCACCTATCATCCGCACGTCGAACGGTCGTCGTCCTTCTTTAAGTGGGAAGCGTGGACGGGTCGTCGTCCACACTGCCCCACGCCACCCCGCGGCCTCCTTGAAACCCGACAGCCCTAGTCCCAAACCCTAGCCAACACCTCGCCGGCCGGCCGCCCGCAGCAATGGGCCTCTGGAAGTCCGGCCGCAAAGGCAAGCACGACCGCGAGGCTGGTTCCTCGTCGGGACGCCGCCGCGGCTCGCCATCGCCACCACGCCGGGCCCCCGCGCCGCCCGCCTTCTCCATCGCACCCACGTCCGCCGGCGACCGCGACCGGCATTACATCCGCTCGTCGGTGTGCCGCCGTTATTGGGAGACGAGGACGCCGCTCCCCTGGAGCGACGTCCATCTCCCCAATAACTGGCATCTCTCCGCCGACCGGGTCCCGATCCCGACGAGCGGCCGTGCGCGCGAGAAGGAGATCGAGCGCCGCCGCCGCCTCCTCCCCGACGACCTCTTCTACGACCCCAGGTACGCCCCCGACTCCAGGCTCTGGGACACCTGGTTTCGTGACGAGCACGACACCAGGCGCGCGTCCTTCTTCGCCGGCACCTCGACGGGGTCGCGGCGGCCACGACAGGAGCACGCAGCGCCTGCTCCCCAGGAGCGCGGGCGTAGGCGGGTGCGCGGCGTCACGCCCACGCCGTCGCCTTCGCCGTCTCCATCGCCACCACCACCTCCTCGCATGACGGACGAGGAGGAGGCCCGTCTCATGGCGCGTGTCATGGAGGACTCCATGTACACGCACGATGAGCGGCAATGGGAGGGCCTGGAGGAGATGACGGCCCGCTCCGCTGCCGGCGAGGTAGCCATCCCTGAGGAGGAGCCGGTGGCCGCATTCCAGCAGCTGCTGGGCCAGGGGTGGGGCTGGTCCTGCACTGCTCCGGAGATGGCCGCCGGCGTGGGCGTGAACTGGTGCTCCACTCCGCCGCGGTCACCGGAGCGGGAGGCGTTGCCACGGGAGGAGGTGGTGCAGGCACCTCCGTCCGTCCAGCCTGCCCCCGTCTACCACGCACCGCTGGCCCACCTGTGGACGCCGCCGGCCTACGTCAAACTCGTCAGCGACGACGACGACACCGGCGGCCAGTGAAGACGGCGACGGCCACGGCACCGACGGGCGCGGCAGGAGCGCGCGGGAGGCGTTTTTTTATTTTGTTTTTATATGTTAATTATGAAACGGGGCCTTTTAAGTGGCCGTGGAAACTGGGTCGTTTTGTGGCCGACCCCTATATATGTTTTATGTTTTTTTAAATGTGTTTATTTACTTTTTTAGTTATTTCATTCTAGTTTTTTTAAAAAAATTATTCACGTCCACCCCGGACACGATTTGGGGTGTGGCCGCGCGGTGGGCGCACGCACGACCCATCGGACAAAGCCGGACACGGGCGAACCCATCGGCGCCCCCAAGGGACAAAATCCGGCCAATCCGGACGTCCGTTTGGGGTCGCGCGGTGGAGTTGGCCTAAGTGAATGTCAAGAAGCAGTACTATAAGAAATGATGGCTATGCAAGAAACTGCTCAATGTTTTTTCTTTGTCGGGAGATACTGCTTAATTTTAGTTCTTGCAGTTCTAACATTTGCATCCCATTTCTCAAAATGATGTGTATATGGAACCAACTTTGTAAAGTCTGCAAGCTAGTTCAAAAGTATTCAGTTGGCCTAGGACAAATGTTTCACATAACCTAATAGTACAGGTTAACCCTCTTCATCCCACCCCACCCCACCCATAGGAGATGAAAACCATTAGAGAACAGCAGAATGAAGCTCAACTTTTTCAGGACAAGGTTCTGTAACTGATATTCCATACCAATGAACACAAGAAGTTGCTAAACTAGAAGACAAAAAGGGCATTCACTGCTGAAAACGAACCAGCAACTGAGCTTACCTGAATAAAAAAGCAAAGAGAAGAATGAAAATTGGAGCCCCAGATTTACACTGCACAATAATTGAAAAGCCATAAATTAGAAGTCCAAATATTAAGTGAGAAGAGCAGGAAATAATAACTCACATGGAATGAAATGTACCATTGTAGCGAATGTCACAGTAATGAAAACAAACGAAATGTTGGTCAAATTTATATCAAGAGCAGTAGCCAAAGCTGTTGGAACAACTGCAGAAGAAATATTCAAATTGTTACTATATCTTTAAAGATGATAAACACAATAAGAACGGACAAAAAATCTCTACATATTTTGAAGTAGAATTGTCGGGTGGTAGGTGCGACATATGCCAACGGGTGGCTTATCATTGTGGGAGCCAGTAAGACGTCGCCGGTGCCTGGAAGCGGGATGAGGCGAAGACATGCACGCCGGCGAATCTTACCCAGCTTCAGGGCTCTCCGTGGAGATAACACCCCTACTGCTGCTCTGCGGGGTCTCCGCATGATCACTAGATGAACGAGTGGCTACAAGATGCTCCTTGAGCTGTTTGGCGAGAAGAAGAAGGGCACGGCTAGCTCTCCTCTCCTCTCTATGTGGTGTCTCAAACTAGCTCAGACCCCCCTTCTGCATGGGTGCCCCGGGGGGTTTATATAGGCCTACCCCCCGGGGGTATAATGGTAATCCGGCTGGGCGTGGGCCCTAACCGTCTGTGTCTACGCTCTCCGGCTTCTGCGCCGGCTGCTGGGGCCCGCCAGCTGGTGGGTCCTGCCGGCTGCCGGCTCCTTGGTCGACAGGCAGGCCCCACTGTCAAGGGCCTTGTCGGTGGCTGGTTACTGTTGCCTCAAACCTGGTGACGAGGGCTTCGCCGAGGTAAGCGTGGCTACAGTGCCGCCGCTCGGCGGGCGATCGCTGTAGCCTCACCTCGTCTTGTCTCTTTAATGGGGCGTCTCCTTCGAGGGAGGAAGCAAGCCGGCTGTGGGGAGCCGGCCCTGTCTTGGGCCGACTGGGGGAGGCCTGGCCGCCTTTGGGTGTCTCTTTGCCTGAAGGGGCCCACCGCCGTGGGCCGCGCCGACAGCCCATCGTGGGTGGCATCAGGGTCAACATGGCAACAGTGCCGCGCCGGACGGGTCATGGCCACCCCGTACGGCGCACTGTGCCAGGCGTGCTTCGGGATTCGGGGGTGGCAGGCTTTACTGTAGCCACGCCCCGCCACAGCGCCGTTATGTGGATGCGGACTTCGAGGGTACGATCTTGACCGCTTTGTGGGAGTCGGCTCCTCGCGGCCGGCTTCTTGGAGCCGGCCCTCCCGCGGCTTTCTTCATGAGGGCTAAAGCCGGGCCGCCTTCCGATAGTCGGCCTGGGAGACAGCCGGCAAGGGGAAGGCGGCCCCACGTCTTGGATTCTTGAGGGCCGGATCGGCTCGTAATTTTTTCAGAAGGGCCAGGGGGAGCCGGCTAGGCTACCCGTGGTCGTTTACTCCGACAGTAGTCCCCGAAGCTGACCGAGCTTCGAGGCTGACAAAGGGACGAGAAGCTTGGTCAGCTTCCTATCCTGAGGAGCCGGCTTTGCTTATGCGCGCCTTTGGGAGAGGTGAGGATGACGCCGGCTCCCAAGCCGGTGCGCATCTTGAACCCGTCGAAGTGCATGCGCCAATGAGTGGAGTCGGGAGCTGGTGGCAGGTACTGGGTCTCGGCCCAGTCGACGAGGAAGTCGGCCAATGCTTGGGACTTGATGGCGGTGCGAGGCTGGTAGAAGATTGTGTAGGGGGCCAGCTCGATGGCCCATTTCGCCACCCGGCCGGATGCATCCCGGCTGCCTATGATCTCGGCAAGCGGGGCGGTGCATACGACCGTGATGGGGTGTTCTTGGAAGTAGGGCTTCAGCTTCTTGGCGGCGAAGTACACGCCATAGCACATCTTCTCGTAGTGCGGGTAGTTCTGCTTCGAGGTAGAAGCACCTCACTCAAATAGTACACAGGCCTCTGGACCGGCTGGGCTCGGCCCTCTTCTGGGCGCTGGACTACGACGACGGTGCTGACCACCCGGCTGGTTGCAGCAATGTAGAGGAGCATGGGCTCTTTCTCAGTCGGCGCCGCCAGGACAGGCGGCGTGGCCAGCATCTTCTTCAGCTCGTGAAAAGCTTGGTCGGCTTGGTCGTTCCACTCGAAGTGAGTGGTCTTCTTCATGAGGCGGTAGAGGGGGAGAGCTTTCTCTCCGAGCCGGCTGATGAAGCGGTTCAGGGAGGCCAAGCACCCGGTGAACTTCTGGACATCTCGAAGTTTGGTGGGAATCGTCATTCTCTCAATGGCCTTGATCTTTACTGGGTTGCATTTGATGCCGCGTTCGGAGACCAGGAAGCCTAGGAGCTGGCCGGCTAGCACTCCGAACACGCATTTCTCGGGGTTGAGCTTGATCTGGAACCGGCGCAGGTTCTCAAATGTTTCCTTGAGGTCTTCCAGCAAGGTGTCGCGCTTCTCCGTCTTCACCACGATGTCGTCTACGTAGACGTGGGCATTTCTGCCGAGCTGCTTGAGGAGGCACTTCTGCATGCAACACTGAAAAGTGGCACCGGCATTTCTTAAGCCGAATGTCATAGTCAGGTAGCAGAAAGCTCCGAATGGCGTGATGAAGGCGGTCTTCAGGCGGTCAGCCGGATCTAGCTTTATCTGGTGGTATCCTGAGTAAGCATCCAAGAAACTCAACAGCTCGCATCCGGCCGTGGAGTCTATCACTTGATCAATCCTTGGCAGGGCAAAGGGATCTTTGGGGCAGGCCTTGTTGAGGCTCGTGTAGTCTATGCACATGCGCCACTTGTTGTTCTTCTTTAGCACGAGGACCGGGTTGGCGAGCCACTCTGGAAAGAAAACCTCCATAATGAAGCCTGCTGCCAGAAGCCGGGCTATCTCTTCTCCTACAATCCTTCTTTTCTCCTCCGACAGTCGGTGGAGGGGTTGTTTGATTGGTTTTGCGCCTTCTCGGACATGTAGCTTGTGCTCGGCGAATTCCTTCGGAACACCCGGCATGTCCTTAGGGGACCATGCAAAGATGTCCCGATTCTCACGGAGGAAATCGGCGAGCTCGCCTTCCTATTTGCTGTTTAGGTTTGCCCCGATGACGGCAAACCTTTCTGGGTGCTCGGGGTCAAGAGGTATCTTCTTCGTCTCCTTGGCCGACTGGAAAGATCCTTGGGCATCACACTCCTTGGGATCGGGGGACAGGGCCGGCTGTTTGCCGGCCATGGCCACGACTCGGTCCAACATCTTCTTTTCTTCGGCAATCACAAGGGACTCGGCCAGCCGGCTGCTGGCTGCTACGCACTCGGAAGATTTCTTGTAATCGCCAGCTATGGTGATGATGCCCTTGGCGCTCAGCATCTTCATCTTGAGGTAAGCATAGTGGGGAACAGCCATGAACCTGGCCAAGGCAGGACGGCCAAGCAATGCATGGTAGGGGCTCTCCAGGTCCACCACTTCAAACCAGATCGCTTCCCGGCGGAAATGATCCTTGTCCCCAAAGAGAACATCAATCTTGATCTTGCCAATGGGGGCGCAGGACAGGCCAGGTACAATGCCATGGAACACAGTCCGAGTTGGCATGAGTTGCTTCGTCTTGACGTTCAGCTTCTCCAGGGTGTCACGGTACTGGATGTTGATGCTGCTCCCGCCGTCTATCAGCACGCGGGAGAAACGGGCGGTGCGTCTGTCCGTTGCAAGGGTGGCATCCAAAACCAACGCATAAGAGCCGGGAGATGGCATCACCTCTGGGTGGTCGGCCCGGCTCCAGCTGATAGGCTTTTTTGACCAGTGCATGTGCTCGGCGGGGTTGGTAGCGACCACGTTGACTTCCTGGTGCTCTCGGCGTCTGCTGCGCCGGCCTTCGGGCTGGCTTGTAAAGACAACATAGGCGGCATGCTCGTCGGGGAACTCATCGTGCACAGCTCCGACTGCTGGCCGAGCGGTCGGCAGCTGCGGAGCCAGAGGCGGCGGACCAGCAGGCGAAGGCGGCGCGATCCCTTCGCCTTTGGAGATTCGGGTGAGCCAGTGGCACTTCCGGGTTGTGTGGTTGGACGGCTTCGCGCCGCTGTGGAACTTGCATGGGGCGTCGAGAGTTTGCTCGTAGGAGAAGGCCGGCTGCCAAGCCGGCCTGCCGCCCCTCTGCTTCTTGGGTGCGGGCCGCCCTTCGGGCTGCTCGTCTTCGACTGTGGCCACCTGCCGACTGGTGGAGAGCGGCACGAGGCCCTTGCGCTTGTGGTCGTTCTGGTACGGGCGTCGGCCGGAGTCCCCAGCCGGCGTCTTGGGCGCCGGGTTGAGTACCTTCCCGGACGCGTCTACCCGGAGTTCAATCTTCATTGAAGAGTCGGCGGTGGCATACTTGTCCGCTATGACCAGAAACTCGTCGAGGGTAGTCGGCTCGTCGCAGAGGAGCTTGTGCTTGAGGAGGGTGCCTTCTCGGCACCCGGCAATGAAGTATTCTATGGCTTGCACCTCGTGCACCCCTTCGCAAGAGTTGCGGAGCTCGGCCCGACGCGTGAGGTAGTCGCGAGTGGATTCGGCGGGGCCTTGTACGCACAAGGAAAGCTGTCTGGGCTTGGGAGCCCGCTTGTAGGTGCTGGTGAAGTTGCGGACGAAGGTTTCTGTGAAGTCTAGCCAGCTGTTGATGCTGTATGGCCTGAGGCTGTTGAGCCAGGTCCGCGTCGTGCCTTGCAGCATGAGGGGCACGTACTTCACGGCAACCCGCCTGTTGCCGTTTGCTATGCGAACCGCTGTGGAGTAGTCGATCAACCAATCTTCCGGCTTCACAGAGCCGTTGTACTTGGGCGTGTCTCTTGGGAGCGAGAACCCTTTGGGGAAAGGCTCGTCGCGGATGCGGGGGCCGAAGCAAGGCGGGCCGACATCATCTTCTTCTTCTAGCGCCAGGGATCGCGCTAGGCGGTCGATCCGATGGCGGGCGTCGTTCTCGCCGACTCCTTTGCGGCGACCTAGTCGGCCGCTGAGAGTCGGATGCGTGACAGGCGGTGGGGTGGGATATCTCTCCCCACGAGGCGGAGGCGGAGGCGGGTTGCCCCGCCGCTACACGGCCCGGGGACGGCCTTCTGCGTCTCGCTCGATGGAGATCCGGGTTCGGCTTTGGCTGGCAGCCGGCTCTTTCTCGTGTCGCGTGCGGGTTTTACCCGCTGTCGGCGTCCGGGACGTCGCGCCGTGCTCTCGGCGCGGGGGAGGGCTTTCCGCGCGGGCGTCGGCTTCGTGCCGCTGTGCGGCTGCATCGATTAGTTGCTGGATGCGTCTGGTCATGTGGGGGAGTTCTTCGGCCCCCAGTCCGTCTAGCTCGTCTACGGCCGCCTGGGCGGCGCGCAGGTTCTCGAGTGGAGTGGCGTAGACTGGGCGGTCGACTCCTAGCGTGTCGGCGAGGGCAGCGCCGCGCTGTCTGACAACGTCGTCTCGGCTTGGCCCGCCTAGGGGCGGCGTGCCAAAGGCGGCGCGGTCGGCTTCGCGCTGGTGGGCCTCAGCGAGGCGTCTCATGGAAGCCAACTTCCGGCCCTCCGCGAGGAGGGCGAGGCGGCGAGCCTCCAGTGCTTCGGCGTCAGCATCGGTCGGGAGGGGGATGGACAAGTCGTGGACCGCCGCATGCGGGGCGTCGAGGGCGTTCTCGCCAGAAGCGCCGCTGTGGCCGATGACCATCACCTCGGTGGTGGCACCGTCGCAGCCATCGGCCCGGGGAAGCGGGTCGTTGTAGACCGCGACGTCGGTGGGGAAAGCGTCAAGCGAGGCCATGTCGGAGTCGACAGGCATCGGATCGGTGGAGCCAACAGACTCCAAGTCCACAGCAGGCTCGCCGGAGACGTGGAGCTGGCCGAGGAGGTTGACGAGGTGGTCGGTGCCCGCGTCAGAGGCGGGCTCGTCGGAGATGAGGGTCTCGTCAAGGAGATCGGCGAGGCCGCTCGCTGCGCAGACGTTGGTGACGCCTTGCAGCGCGTCGTGGCAAGCGCCATCGGGCGTGCCGGGCTGGCTACGCTCGCTGGGGAGGAAGAGGGTTCCCGTCTAGAACAGGTCTCCGGACGACGGTGCACTTGGCCCCATGGTGGGCGCCAAATGTCGGGTGGTAGGTGCGACATATGCCAACGGGTGGCTTATCATTGTGGGAGCCAGTAAGACGTCGCCGGTGCGTGGAAACGGGATGAGGCAAAGACATGCACGCCGGCGAATCTTACCCAGCTTCAGGGCTCTCCGTGAAGATAACACCCCTACTGCTGCTCTGCGGGGTCTCCGCATGATCACTAGATGAACGAGTGGCTACAAGATGCTCCTTGAGCTGTTTGGCGAGAAGAAGAAGGGCACGGCTAGCTCTCCTCTCCTCTCTATGTGGTGTCTCAAACTAGCTCAGACCCCCCTTCTGCATGGGTGCCCCGGGGGGTTTATATAGGCCTACCCCCGGGGGTACAATGGTAATCCGGCTGGGCGTGGGCCCTAACCGTCTGTGTCTACGCTCTCCGGCTTCTGCGCCGGCTGCTGGGGCCCGCCAGCTGGTGGGTCCTGCCGGCTGCCGGCTCCTTGGTCGACAGGCAGGCCCCACTGTCAAGGGCCTTGTCGGTGGCTGGTTACTGTTGTCTCAAACCTGGTGACGAGGGCTTCGCCGAGGTAAGCGTGGCTACAGTGCCGCCGCCCGGCGGGCGATCGCTGTAGCCTCACCTCGTCTTGTCTCTTTAATGGGGCGTCTCCTTCGAGGGAGGAAGCAAGCCGGCCGTGGGGAGCCGGCCCTGTCTTGGGCCGACTGGGGGAGGCCTGGCCGCCTTCGGGTGTCTCTCTGCCGAAAGGGGCCCACCGCCCGTGGGCCGCGCTGACAGCCCGTTGTGGGTGGCATCAGGGTCAACATGGCAACAGTGCTGCGCCGGACGGGTCATGGCCACCCCGTACGGCGCACTGTGCCAGGCATGCTCCAGGATTCGGGGGTGGCAAGCTTTACTGTAGCCACGCCCCGCCACATCGCCGTTATGTGGATGCAGACTTCGAGGGTACGATCTTGACCGCTTTGTGGGAGTCGGCTCCTCGCGGCCGGCTTCTTGGAGCCGGCCCTCCCGCGGCTTTCTTCTTGAGGGCTAAAGCCGGGCCGCCTTCCGATAGTCGGCCTGGGAGACAGCCGGCAAGGGAAAGGCGGCCCCACGTCTTGGATTCTTGAGGGCCGGATCGGCTCGTAATTTTTTCAGAAGGGCCAGGGGGAGTCGGCTAGGCTACCCGTGGTCGTTTACTCCGACAAGAATAAAAATATATAAGTCCATGCTAAGTCCTAGCCCTCGTTGATTAAATGGATTCATCGAATGAAACAATAATATCCAGTAGGTCATGGCCCAACTTAATTGTAAGTTAATAAAGTACGGTGATTCATCCAGCCAGAGGTGTAGGTCTAAACTCTATTTTGAGCCCATGTGGCTCTATAGCAGCTTGGATTCACATGCAGCGCACCAGTTAAAGTTTACTTCTATCTTTAACCTTAACTTGATAACTTATGATAATCTAATTTAGTGAGTCATGTTCTGTTAATTGGCCAATGGAGGTTTCTGCCCCCACCCATGAAAATAACCGACCAGCATCCATGTTCAGTGCTTTACACCTGAGCTCGAACTGAAACATACCCTTCTTTTAACACTAGTACTCTATATGTATGTCCCACAGAAGTGCAGAATGCACAAAGTTGCTATTGCAAATTATACGCACCAAGCCATGAAATTTCCAGGGCACTTGTTGTGACAGAATGTAAGGAACAAACTACTGTGTAAGCATCGGGCAACATAAGTTTGAAATAACACAGTAGCTACCTCGCTGAAAGTAATCTTTCCATGACATTGTATAACGCTCTGCCTCCATGCCCCGTTGCTGGAACCACACGATCACCCTCGACGCAACAGCCTGCATGGTGAAATGCACCGTGTTCATCAGGAACGGGGCAGGGAACTTCCACATGCGCTTCCCAAGCATCTCCTTGTTATACCTGGCCACAGGCACAAGGGCGCACAGAGAACACCAGCATCAAACGCGTGCCCGGCAATAGCTCCTCTGAGCATCCGCGCACAAATAACGAGAAAAACGCGTTACTCACAGCGTCAAGCAGGTGCTCAGCGTGTACCAACTCGCTATCAGAAATATAATCTTGGCGATCAGCCACGGCGAGACTGGGACGCTGTCAGATCCCGCCGCCGCTCCTGCCTCGATATCCATCGGCGAGCGGTGGGCGGCGGCGGCGGGCGGCAGAAGCGGCAGCTCGAACTCCTCCGAATCATCGTCGCTCGGCGCAGAGGCTGGCGAAGCGGCGCCGGCGGGGGCATTGGGCGCCGCGGAGGGGTCCTTGCACCACCGCGAGAACGACGGCTCCCTGCGTATCCCTCCCTGCTTCTTCTGCCCGCCAGCCACCACCTGCGGCTCCGCGGCGCCCTCCGCGGGCTCGACGGGCACTTCCGGTGCGTCCTCTTCCTTCGGGTGGGCGTGGCCGTTCTCCACGGCGCAGTCCCCCATGGACGGTGCTGGAGGTGGCGTAAGGCTCTAGAAAGGCTTGGATCTGGGCGGCGCGGATCTCATCGGCGGCGGCGGCGAAGGAGGGTTTGCAGCTAGCCTGCGGGATTTCGGTAGCAGGTCAAAATCCAGCACCTCGTGACGACGACTTCCTGCGCGGGGGTTATGCTTGCAACTTCCTCCGTCGGCTGGTACCGGTAGCTTTGCTTGCGCCAGAGGAGGACGATGTTTTCTCTCTTCTCCTCCTTTTCGCCTCGCATGAAAATGCAGAAATCACAAAACGTACTCACCATTCTTCTTCTTCTTTTTTTTTAGAAAAACTGCCCCAAAAAGCATTTTATATGTGATAATTACCCAAGAAAATAGTACCCAATACAAAACAAAAACATCAAAATATAAAATGACTAGAAAATAAAAATCTGTCGAAAACCGTACTACTCATTTTCTTCGATCGATGGTACGTCACCCACCCGAACTTGGAACTATATTAAATCGACAATAAGTAAAATGGACCCCACACATACCCTCGTCATACTAGGCCTTTAAAACCACAGTACTCACTCGTCTGTATGAACGAGATCCAGTGATTGCTGAAGGACCATCGGTTAGGGCAGCATCACCCCATATAGCACTGCAGTCCTTCCACGTCAGTCAGGAATATTGGAAAAACTAGGTCACGCTATAGGACAAATTGAAGAAAGACACGAAAGTCGCCGCATCAAAGGCAAACCAATTGCCTCTCTCAAATGACACATAAATTCACAAGATTTGTCAGCATTACGGAATAAGGGGTTCCCTGGATCTGCTAATGATGGGCCTGGTTGGATCTTTCAAAGCCTAGGAGTCGAAGATTTCCATGCTCTAGACTCCCCAAGCACCAAGGCGACGGCGACCACTGAAAGCCTAAGTGGTGGTCGGGTCCTTCCCCGACTTTTCCCGAGAAATCTCTTTGAGAGGGGTTTTATAAACGGTGCAAGGGGAAAAGTTGGCCTAAGTTTTTTTCTCTGGGGTCTCCGTGAGACTCGAGGCCGTCAGGCACATTAATGGCAATGCCTACACGCCAGTGATAACCTACGGTTTATAGACTGTTGTGGTTCTGAACTATAAGCCGATTCATCCCAAATCGAAATGATATGGACTGCCGCACTTCAGGAATTTAACAAGTTTAGGACACCCTTTTGACTATTGACGCGTTGGACATGGCATGTCTTCTCAACTCTGTTAGGGATTCGTCAAACCTCGCTTGCACTCGCCGCCTTATTTTCTGACAAGCCCGCGTGGGCCATGCAGGATCGGTCACTCAGATTGTGTGTACCATGTTTTACGATAGACCATTGAGGTGCCCCCGAGTCCTATATAAGGGGAGGACCGAGGCCGTGCAAAGGATTTGCAGCCTGAAAGAATACTAGCTAGCAGGAGAGTAGTTAGGGAAAGGATACTAGCTTTCCAAAACTAGAGAAAAATAGTGAGAGAGAGAGAGAGTTCATCTTGTAATATGTGATTCATAAACAGATGAAGGACTAAACCAGGATGTAGGGTATTACACCATCACGGTGGCCTAAACCTGGGTAAAAAAACTTGTATATTCGCTCGAAGATTTCTAGGGTGTTTTAGCCCCTGGTTGAGTGGAAAAAGGGGATTCCAATGATCCCAAATATCGGCAGTCCATCGTCCACATTTGGCATGCCATGTAGCGGGCTAAGGCTTCTGTTCTCTTCACATCTTCATCAACAATGGCCAAGCATGGATCATGGGCAAGGTTGTGATCACTGTCGTACTCAAGGGCCTCCCAAGAGGAGGGCAACCGCGTTGTAGACAATGCCTCACAAAGGGAGACGACAGAGTCCGAAGAGCATGTTTATGTTGGCTCTCAGCATTCTCCGCTCCGTGTGTTTTTTGACCACCGCTAAGTGGGAGGGTGATACGTCTTCAATGTATCTATAATTATTATTGTTCAATGTTATTATAGTATCAATCTTGGATGTTTTATATGAAATTATATGCTATTTTATATCATTTTTTCGGACTAACATATTAACCCAGTGCTAGTTTCTATTTTTTGCTTGTTTTTTGCTTTTTAGAAAATCAATATCAAACGGAGTCCAAACAGAAAAAAAACATTTGGATTGTTTTTTTCCAGACCAGAAGGGACCCTAGAAGGTCCAGGAGGACGCCATAAGAGTTACGAGGGACCGACAAGCTCGTAGGGCGCGCCCCAGGGGGCGTCCCTTGAGCTTATGGGTCTCTCACAGCATGTATTGACCTAATTTCACCTCTATAAATTCAAAAATATTCCCAAATCAACAGAGAGCCACCCGGAACACTTTTCTCGACGCTTCAAGCTTCTATTCATCCGTGATCCCATATAGAGGCCTTTTCCGGTACTCTGCCGGAGGGGGAACCGATCATGAAGGGCTTATACGTCATCCTTGCTACTTCCGATGATGTGTGAGTAGTTTACCACGGACCTATGGGTCCATAGCTAGTAGTTAGATGGCCTTTTCTCTCTCTTTGATCTTCAATACCATGTTCTCCTCGATGTTCTTGGAGTTCTATCTGATGTAATCTTCTATTGCGGTATGTTTGTTGGGATCCGGTGAATTGTGGGTTTATGATATGAATATTCATGAGAAGTAATTGAGTCTTCTCTGAACTTTATTATGCATTATTGTTATAGCCTTGTATTTCTCTCTGATCTATCCGTTTGGTTTGGCCAATTAGATTGATTTATCTTCAGTGAGAGAGCTGCTTTATAATGGGTTCAATCTTGCGGTGCTCTGTATCCCAGTGAAAGAAGGGGATAAGACACGTATTTGAATTGTTGCCATTATGTGTAAAACGATGGGGTTTATTCATATTGATTGAGTTTGGTTTGTCTACATCATGTCATCTTGCTTAAGGTGTTACTCCGTTTTTATGAACTTAATACCAAAGGTGCATGCCGGATAGCGGTCGACTGGTGGAGTAATATTAGTAGATGCAGGCAGGAGTCGGTGTACTTGTCTCGGGTGTGATGCCTATATACATGATCATTGCCTTAAATATCGTCATAACTATGCGCTTTTCTACCAATTGCTCAACAGTAATTTGTTCACCCACCATATGATATGTGTTCGAGAGAGTAGCCTCTAGTGAAAACTATGGCCCAGGGTCTGCCTTTATCATATATAAAAAACCAAATACCTTGATGCAATTTTTTATTTTATTTTTGCAATTTATCTATCTACCACTACAAGATTTAATCCTTGCAAGTAACCGCCAAGGGATTGACAACCCTCTTGTTCGTGTTGGGTGCAAGTATATGCTTTTGTGTGTGCAGGTGTTGTTCACGAGGCTTTGCGTGATCCTCCTTTTGGTTTGATAAACCTTGGTTCTCACTAAGGGAAATACTTATCTCTATTGTACTGCATCTCCTCTCCTATTCGGAGAAAATCCCAACGCAGCTCACTGATACGTCCATTTTGCATCATGTTTTACCTACTGTTATTCATAATGTTTTTATGCATAATAATGCCTTTTGGAGTAATTCTAATTCTTTTCTCTCATAATTTGCAAGGTACACACAAAGAGGGAGAATTTCGGCAGCTGGAAATCTGGACCTGAAAGAGCTACGTCAGGCTACCTATTGTGCACAACTCCAAATGGGCTGAAAATTCACGAGGATTTTTATGGAATAAATAAGAAATACTGGAGCAAATAACCACCGGAGGGGGGCCACCCGGTGAGCACAAGACACCAGGGCGCGCCTGGCCCCCAGGCGCGCCCTGGTGGGTTGTGCTCACCCTAGCCCACGTCTGGTGCCCATATTCCGGTATATAAGTCATTTTGACCTAGAAAAAAAAATAGGAGAAGACTTTCGGGACACAGCGCCGCCGTCTCGAGGCGAAACTTTTGCAGGAGCACTTTTACCCTCCGGCGGAGCGATTCCGCCAGGGGAACTTCCCTCCCGGATGGGGAAATCATCATCATCATCATCACCGATAACTCTCCCATCTTGGGGAGGGCAATGTCCATCAACATCTTCAACAACACCATCTCCTCTCAAACCCTGGTTCATCTCTTGTGTTCAATCTTTGTACCGGAACTATAGATTGGTGCTTGTGGGTGACTAGTAGTGTTGATTACATCTTGTAGTTGATTACTATATGGTTTATTTGGTGGAAGATTTTATGTTCAGATCCAATATGCTATTTAATACCCCTCTGATCTTGAGCATGATTATCATTTGAGTAGTTACTTTTGTTCTTGAGGTCACGGGAGAAATCATGTTGCAAGTAATCATGTGAACTTGATATGTGTTCGATATTTTGATAGTATGTATGTTGTGATTCCCTTAGTGGTGTCATGTGAACGTCGACTACATGACACTCCATCATATTTGGGCCTAAGGTAATACATTGTGGAGTAGTTATTAGATTATGGGTTGCGAGAGTGTCAGAAGATTAAACCCTAGTTTATGCGAATTCCTTAAGGCACCAATTGGATCCAAAAGTTTAATTCTATGGTTAGAATTTATTCTTAATACTTTTCTCGTAGTTGCGGATGCTTGCGAGGGGGTTAATCATAAGTAGGAGCTTTGTTCAAGTAAGAACAACACCTAAGCATCGGTCCACCCACATATCAAATTATCAAAGTAGCGAACACGAATCGATTCAACATGATGAAAGTGACTAGATGAAATTCCCGTGTACCCTCAAGAACGCTTTGCTTATTATAAGAGACCGTTTTGGCCTGTCCTTTGCCTCAAAAGGATTGGGCTACCTTGCTGCACTTTTGTTACTACTATCATTACTTGATTGTTACAAATTATCTTGCTATCAAACTACTCTGTTACTTACAATTTCAGTGCTTGCAGATATTACCTTGCTGAAAACCACTTGTCATTTCCTTCTGCTCCTCGTTGGGTTCGACACTCTTACTTATAGAAAAGGCTACAATTGATCCCATATACTTGTGGGTCATCAAGGCTATTTTCTGGCATCGTTGCCGGGGAGTGAAGCGCT